AACAGTGACAGTAACCAAAGTGTTGTCCTAGCCACAACAACGACACCAACAACCATATTCCCAAACTGGGACGACCAAAGCGACACTTCAATTAGCGAAAAGAGAAGCCGTCAAAACACTCCATCGAAACCAACAGCCCGACGCCCCTCAAGCTTCGAAACTCTACAGTCCCTACACAGCTCATGTCCCAAACCCAAAACCCCAAGCCCAAGAAACCCTAAACCCCATTGGAGCCAAGAAGGCCTTGCAAACGAAACACGCACACACACAAACCACTGACACAGTACATGCAAACATCACGAAACGTCCAGGTTTAGGATTTAGGGCTTGCAACACAGAACAAGACATCGGCAGGACGCTGGACGGCTGCCTGAAGACAATATGCAAGAGGTGGTCAGGCGGCTCTTGGTCTTCAGGTACAAGGTTTTCAGGCTTGGTTTAGGGTTTACCTGTAGTCTCCGTTGTAGTTCCTTTTTCTAGTTTAACCAATTACATATTAAGGACCCTATAAGGTAATCCCAAAAAAGGAACTACAATGGAGACTATAGGTAGGTTTTAAAGGATTCGAGTTTGAGGCTCAGGGTTTAGGGGCATTGGGCTTACTACTGGGGTTCTCAAGAAGTGCCGTTTTCGCATGGAGTCTCACCATACCTGTACACAAGAGGGCTTCAGCGGGTTTAATTGAAGCGCTTTAGACGGTTTACGGTTTCGGTGCATGTTCTACCACAGTTACGTGTGGATTGCGAGACATAGTCACAGCACTTCGGTGCATTGAGGCCTGTACACGTGCTTCGGGCCTATTACCAGGCTCGAGATACTAGATTTCATTGTGACGGGTTTCATCACTTCATGAACGGCTCCACGACTCTCCAATGAGCAACGCCGTTCAGCGGAACTGCCTGGGCACACTCTGCCTGTTGGTTTGTCACGAGCCCGATCGCCAAGCACTGTCGGGTGCTTGCTTGAATGTGCCACTTGGGCCGCATTGAGATGCACACAAAAAGGTGGCTGCACCTGCGACACGGCTTGAGGCCTTGGTGTCTGGCAGTATGACATCGACAATTTCCCGACAGCAACCTAGCGGAGCATGTCGACCAAATCTTGCACAAATTGAAGCAGGAGCTTGCTTTCTTGGAACTGGACAGCATCATGACAACTCGAACCGACGGCTGCTTCTATTGCCGGGGCTGTTGGTCAGCCTTCACAGCGCTGAAGCCGCAGGACCTGGTGCTGAGCTTGCCTCCACAGGGCTGGGCGGAGTGCGGTCGGGTCATCACGGCGCAGGAGCCAGCGACACCAAAATATTCGAGGAGTATACCTGAAATCATATATCAGGTATCACTCCGAATTCAAGGCACACTGTTGAACTAAGCGGTCCTGGAGTCACGGGAACCTTAAACCCTCAACCCTGATCTCCTTCCCCACAGAAATCGTTTCGGACCCGAGTAGAATTCCACAGATCACTCACGCTCCGAAGGCAACCCTTCAGTCCAAAACATGCACCGTAGCACTCCAGGGTTTGGGGTTTAGGGTTTCGGGTACCGCATTGTGCGACGTTACGTCGATTCCGAGCTTGAAATCTGCGTGGAAGTGTGGCAGGAGCACGACCTGGGGCAGAGAAAACACGAGTCGCGGCCAACGTATGCTTGGACCTAAACCCGAAGCCCTTAACCTGGCAGGTGGATAACAAGGCCTTAAAAACAAATCCTCAAAACCCTTAAAAACTAAACCCTGAAGCCCCAAAAACCCTTTGATACCGTAATTCCCGATTATTTTGGTTCCAAAACAAATCCTTAAACAAACTAAACCCTAAACCACACAAAAGCATGTACAACCTTAATGTCGCTACTATTTTGGTTCCAACGCAAACCCTCAAAACCTTCAGAAAACTACGCCCTAAACCACCCAAACCCTTATATGTGTGTTCATTATTTTGGTGCCCAAACAAACCCTTAAAGAATTAAAACCCTATTTTCCTTATTAGCCCTATGATTTTGGTTCGCACTCCAACAGACCCCAGAAGCCGACGCGTAGGGCAGTGCTTCGTGTGGGCACCTCGTAGTCTACGAAACTAATACACATTATTCAGAATAATCTTAGGGGTACTTAGAAATATCTTTTATTTTTTGGTTATTATAATCCCCAAGAATTCTAAGTTCAGTATAGTAATAGTAATAACAATAGTTAATACATGCAGTAAAACGAACAATGATCATAACAGGTGATAGCAGCAAAATCAGCAGAAGAAGACTATGGGTAGTTTTTCAAAACAGGGTCTCTTTTAGGGTGTTTTATTTTTACATGGGCGCCGTGCTATTTAGCACGGGACCCTCATTCAGCAAACTGCCCGTACAGTACATTACGAACTAATACACGATCTGTATAATTCAGCGTGATACTGGGTCATAACCGGCAATATACTGTAATAATAAACCAAACTACTATCATTGCAGGATAGACTGAGCACGGGAATGTGGCGGGACTGGAAGTTGCACTGAATCTTACAATAAAGTCGATGTCTTGCACGTAGGGAGCAGCCATGTTGTGTGGAGAGAAGGCGATTTCGTTCGAATACCTGTGCGATGCCACAGGTGTGCCTACCTGGCACACCCCAAACCCCAAACCCCCTACCCGAAACCCTATAATCCCCAAACCCCCAAACCCTCCAACCTTCAACCATCTGCAGCTGGGTTGTAAAGGTGCGAGATATAAGTTGGCTTATTTCATGGCAAGCGCGGCTTGACAGGCTTGCGGTTCGGCAGAGATTCCAGCACCTCGTCTGCCATCATTGTCTTGGAGCCTTGAATTCCTGAGCCCCTCATTCCTAGACGCGAATCCTAGCCCTTACGTCCTAGGGCTACGTCAAGCCCTACAGCCTACACCCTATTCCCTAAACCCTAGACCCCTAAACTCTTAGCCTTGAGCACTTAACCCAACCTTATATAAGCAGGAGGGCGATTAGAGAGCAAGCTCTGAGGCCGATCCTCTCTCTGTCTTGCTGGTTTCGTCACAGAGAGCGTAACAGATGGCCTTCATAACCACAACTCTTCGTCACGAGATGCATGAAACCCTAAACCCTATTAAGCCTTGTCCTCTAAACCCGAAACCCCTAAACTAAACCCCTAAACACCTATACCCCTAAACCCCTATACCCCTGAACCCCTAAACTAAACCCCTAAACACCTATACCCCTAAACCCTAAACCCCAAGACCTTCGGGTTTCGGGTTTGGGGTCCCTGGCCTGGGCTTTGGGTCTTCCTATGAATTGCTTGGAGGCTCGGGGGACTTCGTAACGGATTATTTTAGGGACTTGTAAGTGTCATAACCCCAATTAGGCTCCCTTTTCGGGTACTTATAAGTCTACTTACTACCTACTTACTAAGTCCCCCGACCCTCCAAGTGGAAGGCAAGATGCAGGAACTCGTAGGTTCCTTCATACCGAATCCTAAAGGGTCCGAAGTATCTATACAGTAGAATGAAGGGCTTAGGGTTTAGGGTTTAAGGTAGGTTCCTTCATACCGAATCCTAAAAACTGTCCAAAGTACCTAGTGTTGATGATATAAACCCTGTATCACCTTAAGGACCCTAAACTACGGGAGTTATGGTAAAATCTTGTTTATGGGTAATGCTGGATTCATATCATCAGCCGTATGTAGTTGAATGTAGGGTTTCTACGATAGGAATTGCTATCCTGAGTTGGGGAAGTACCCCCCCCCATAACAGTACCTAGGACCCTAATTCAGGGTTTCTACATTAGGAATTGCTATCCTGAGTTGGGGAAGTACCCCCCTCCATAGCAGTGCCTAAGACCCTAATTCGGTAGCAAGTTTAAAGGGAGAGACATGCCAGTGCCAACAAAGGACCTTTAATGCCAGCAACAAGCGCATAAGGTTGCCCGATGCCCTCAACCTTGAGCCAAAACCCTTACGGTCAAGCTGTTCATGACCATCTAGAACTCTACGACCATGAGGGCGTCCAGGGTTCAGGGCATTAGGGTTTCGGGCCGGGTGTTTCGCCCGAAGTTTGAAAGCCCCCAAGCCCTGAGCGCAATGTAATTGCGGCGTCCCCATCTTCGACACCCGCGATCCCGAAGCATCCGACACCAGTTAGGGACCCCAAAAGGACATAAGCATAAGCATGTCATAGGGATATCCTCAGATGACTGGGACTCTTTATAAGGGGTTCATATGGGATATCATTATCGATATCCTTATTTTGCTTATGTGCTGGTTTGGGGCCCTAACCAACGCCCTGAACTATCAAGCAGGGAATGCAACATGGACTTGTCCCTTCTGAAGTTTAGACGCTCAACCAAGTCCTTCAAACGAGAGCCCACTGGCCCAAGGGAAGCCGAAAGGCTTTTGTCTGCTTTGCCGGGAGGCAAGACATCGAAGGCGGGATTGGGGGGCTTAAAGTTTACTAATTTACTATAAGGGGTCCATAAGGGTACTATGATATAGGGGCCTTAATAATTAGAGCGCTGTTGTTGTTGTTGTTTTTTTTTTTGTGGGGGAGGGGCTTATATAGGGCTTAGGGAGACCTAGGGTCCAAAAAACCCGCAGTTTAGACACGTGATCACCTAATTTATATATATATATATATATATATACACCCTTTTTCGAACCCCAAGGGTCCAAAGTACCTGCATGGGAGTATGTAAGGTTCCTATAATAGGAATTGCTATTATGATTCGGGTGATACTGGCTACTGTGGCAACTTTGGTTATGAATGGTTAAGGGGATACCATATTTGGGGGTCCTTATAATAAGGATTCTACTATTGAAGGTACTACATCAGGGTCCCCTATTTTCGGAAACTGCCTTATCGCAGTACTTCCGTTGACTTGCCTGATGCCCCCGCATGGAACAATCGAACAAACTTGAAGCCCTAAACCCTAAACCCTAAACCCCAAACCCTAAACCCTAACCCCTAATCCCTAAACCCTTAACCCTAAACCCCAAACCCCAAACCCTAAACCCTAACCCCTAATCCCTAAACCCTAAACCCTAAACCCCTAAACCCAAAACCCTAAACCCTAAACCCTAAACCCTAAACCCTAAACCCTAAACCCTAAACCCTAAACCCTAAACCCCAAACCCCAAACCCTAAACCCTAAACCCTTAAACCCTAAACCCCTAAACCCAAAACCCTAAGCCTGCCATTTTCCCTTGCACGAGGCCATGTTTCACAAGCTGATCCACTCCTGTGCGAACAACACTGACGCAGCACCCTTCCTGAACTGTTTGGGCGAAAAAGCCTGATATTGTAACTACGGGGTCATAACCTGCTACTTTGTATCGTTTGGGGTTACAGGTGGGTCTTAGCTTACCTCTCTGACTGTTGTTCAAGGTTCGAGCAAGGTTGTGCCTAGTGGCCACGAATTACGGTTGATGATATAAATCCTGCATTACCCATAATGAAGAACATACCAGAATTCCCATAGTTTAAGGTCCTTATAAGGTAATGCAGGACTTATATCATCAGCAGTATGTTTGCTACCTCGTAGTCGTACTGTGCACCTACTCCTTGCACACGGAGCAGATACACCTCTCTCTCACTCTCTTCTGCCCTCCCTCAGCTTCGAGAATTTACTTGAGGAGCAATGACAAACTGCATCATGGTACATGTATTGAATCCGGAGGTCTAAATCCCATCACAGAGTTGCCCGGGCTTTTGCCCTTATCGCCCATGGAATAGCAGCTGAGTCTCGCAGCTACCGCTTCGGTGGTTCAGGGTTTCGGTGCCATGACGCACAAGTCATGCTTCCGACAGCGATGGGACACTATGATACTGCCGGCAAGGAGTCTGATAGTCAAGGACCTAGAGTAGGCCCTTATTCCCTTTTTGGGGTTTCAGGTTCCCTTTTAAGCCCCTTTAAACTAAAAGGGCACCCTTTTTATTCCTAGGCTACTCTTGGGTCTAGTAGTCAAGCAGCCCGACACTTAGAGTAAACAGCCTCAGGGTCTGTTTGCATTTGTCAAAACAACCTCGTTTCCAACAGTCCAAGAGTTTTCATAAATTATCTTTAAGCATCAAGGGTTTCTGGTTCGAGGCTTAGGCGTTTCGGGTTTTGGCACGGCTTTGGGGTGGTTGCTTGTTTTGGTACATGCCGGATGAAGCCCAAAGTTGCTGCGCTTTGGGGCACCCGACTGAAACCTAAGCTAGAAGCTCTTTGTGGAGCTGCCTCAATGCTTGGTGCTTGCTTAGGTGTTAACGCCGTGCTGGCTGTGCCGATAACCCTAAACCGTGAACCGTGGTTGAACGGTATTCATCTCGATCTGCCCCAGGAGCCCTGGTGTTTTGTGGATTTCGGGGTGTACGGCTTCAGAAGGACAGCATCTCAAATATCTTTGGAATCTATGGCATATGGTGAACCGGCAACCGGAAGCCAATCAAAAACAAAGACCAAGTTTTGGGCAAGGGGCTTAGGAGCACAAGACTCCGAAGGCAAGAGAACGTTCAGAGCGAGTCACAGCTTCAATGAGTTGTCTTGGCTACTATACGGGCCTTAACAAGTAAAACAGGATATAGAGGGTCGCTTATAGTATAGGTATAGTACGGCATGCCCCCGAACCCCATTCTAAGTTTTAAGGCCCCTACATGACGGTCCAGGAACCCAGGCATGTCGACGCGATGCTAGCATGGACGCAGTCTTCGGGCATGGCCGTGGTGAGGGTTTAGGGTTTGGTGTTAGGATGTGATGAGAACATGGACGTAATGGTCGTTCTGGCCTGGGTGCCTGGATGCTTTGGTCTATGGATCTGATGAACTCATGGACATAATCATCGTTCGGGCCTTGCTGTGTTAAGTTGATGCGATGGCGGCACATCGTTTCGGTATGGATGCCGTGTTAAAGGGATGTGATGTGAACATGGACGCAGTCATCGTTTCGGTAAGAATGCTCTGGGCAAGAGGATGCGATGGGAACATGTATGTAATCATGTGCGATGTTTTCGGCCTTCCCACACTGTAAACGATGTCGCAGGGGTCTGTAGAAGGTGAAGAAAAGTCGCAAGCAGCGAAAACACTAGCAGCCGTATTGTTCGATATGCCGACCACTCGAAGCAATGTAACTAGCGATCTCGCCGAGTCTGCCCGGCGCACGACGTGAACATGCCGTCGAAGCTTCAACATCATGTCTAAACCTCTACTTAGTAAAGATGCCCTAAATTCCCCCTATAACTACACCATCATACATTCTAAAACCCTTTTCCGATTCTTAAGTCCCCTACCCACTTGCAGAGCTTGGGAATGCGAGGCAGCGTGGTTCTTAAGGAAAATGCGGCAAGCGGGCTATATGGCCAACTGCGTGTCGTACAATTGCTCCCTGGCAAAACCGAGGGTCAGGGGGTCAGAAGGGTTGTTAGGGTTTCAGTTGAAGGCTCAGGGATGTATAATAGAGGCTTTAATAATTACCCATGCAATTGTGGGGGCTCCTTGTCATAAGCATGGTATAGTATACCCCCAAACCCTGTTCTCATTGCTAGGACCCCTATATTAGAGTTCGGACATCAGATTTGTTTAGGGTCTCCGTTATAGAATTCGTCGATTTGCAGGGCTCTAGGGCCCTGGTTTATGAGCAATGGGCCCGTACTTCATGAACCCCCGAGTACTAGCCGTTACTAGCCTAATGTAGGGGCCTTCATAGTGAGATTGGGGTTTGGGGTATACAATACTATAACTACAATAAGGCGCCCCCAAAATCCTGTTCGAATTGATCAGGCCCCTATTGGGGGAACCGTTTAAAGCAAGGGTTACAGGTTTAGGGTCTAGCGGGTCTGCAGTGCATGTATGTGAGGTTTAGAGTCCGGTTCAGTCTTTGGGTTCAGGTTCCACAGAGCCTTTAGAGGAGGGCTTTAGGGTTTATATGGTTTAGGGGTTTAGGGTTTAGGGTTTAGGGTTTATATGGTTTAAGGTTTAGGGTTTACGGTATAACTTCATGCTTAAAGGCCTGTTCCAGCAGGAGTATATCCAGTACAAGGGCCGTAGGAAGAAAGCGCTAGCCAGGATGCTACCTCTAGCTGCAACCTTGGAGCCTAAACCCTATGCCTGTTTAGGGTTTAGCGTTTGGGATTGAGTTGACAGCGTTACGTTTAGGGTCTAGCAATTCAGAAGCCTGCACACGGATGAAGCCTGATAAAGCTTTGCACTTAATGCACGTGGCTTGCTGCCATGCTTAGCATGCTTGGCGGTTCGTGGGTTGTTCTGAGTGAGGTTTTCAGTAGGGTAGCCATTATAACTATGACATACTATACCCCGTATTAGGGGGCTTACATCGGCGCAGTATAACCCCACTTTTAACTCCCCATGAACCTCCAAGTAGGGTTTAGCTTTAGGGAGCTTCCTTTGCCGCGGCCGTCGTCGAGGTATGCTGACATGCTGCATCAAAGCAGACGATATGCCCCAAGCACAGCTGCAGGCTCAGATTCTGACCAAATCATCGCGGGTGAGTGTGTGCAAATTTGACAATTTGACAACCTTTTGGGGATGTCGATGAGAATGAGGATAGGAAACAGGACAACGACATACATCGATGATGATCCTGATCCCCTTGTCTCAACTGACGCAAGACCCTGCACACTGCCCTGACAGCCTTGAACCATCCCCTAGCTGAATATCCTACATATCGATCCCTTAGGATTGCCATCCGACATGCACGAAATTTGATGACCAGGCTTAGGGAGAAAGGGTTTAGGGTTTAGGGCTTCGGACAGGGAACATGAACATATCAAGAGCCCATGCACAAGACAGATCTCAGCTCGTCTCAGCTTTCCTGGAAAAAATTGAAGCTCCATCGGCACGGCTTATGTTGCCAACGAAGCATGGAGAACAACCGATTTGAACAAATGGTTTGCTGAGCTGCGAAAGAGTCATGCAGACCCTTACGGGGGGACCTAATAAGGCCTATTTAAGGAAGTATAGTCCCGTACCCCCTCCCCTGACCCCTCTGAGGGTCCCTTTGATAAACCTAAACCGCAAACCCTCATGAACCCCCTTATAAACCCTAAACCCTAAACCATTATGAACCGCGTATATACCCTAAAACCCTAAACGAAGGGTCCCTATGAGGAAGTTGCAGGAGCACGACACGGGTCTAAGAATTGAGCTCGAACAGGCGGTGGTCCTGCTCGCCTGCGCTATTATTACACCTAGGGTTTAGGGTATCCCTAAGGGTCCATGTACTCATATAGTACATACATAGGCCTTGAATTATTCACTATATAGGTACATTGGGCCCAAAGTATATACTATTTGGCACTATTGGGGTACATGGACCCTTAGGGAATGTCTTGGGAAAGTTGCCACGGTTCACGGTGTGGGGCAGTGTGGCCGCTGCTAGGGGCATATCACTTTTTACACTCCCTACTAAAAATCGGTTGGCCGGAGCCTTGCTAACTTACCCACCGGGTAGCCGTCCGCTGAGGGAAAAACCGAGTCTTTGTACGCACTGCTCAAGCTTATGTGTTCGCAGTCACAGGTTGCAGTGCTGTGAAGAGATTGGGGGAGAGAGGGGGCACGAGACAGAGTGAGACAGAGAGAGGTGTACCTAGCTGGGCATACACATATCTGTGTATGTATATTTATATGCACGTATCTAATGTGCGCATTCATTGCTTAGTTTTCCGTCATTTTTAAGTGTTCATTCATGTTTTGGTTAATCATACCTTTACATGTATATGCATACATGCTACTGCTGTGTTCGTTTACCGAGGTACACGCTCAATGTGTGTATGTATGTATATATACTGCCGCATGCATATGTGTTGCAAGTGTACGTACAGGAGTGTATGTATGTGTATATAAATCGTATATACATATGGAGAAAGAGGGAGAGAGAGAGAGAGAGAGAGAGAGAGAGAGAGAGAGAGAGAGAGAGAGAAAGTGTGTGTGTGTGTGTGTGCAGAGTATGCAGATGCATCCTGCGAGCGATCCGTATATACATGTATATATGCACCCACACAAATATCTATCTATCTATCTATCTATCTATCTATATATATATATATATATGTATACATATACCGCTTCTGTGCATGAAGATGTGTATCTCTTCTTGTATGTATGAATGTATGTGCATGGTATGTACTTATGGTGTGTGGTCAAGGTAGCATGTGCATTTGTTTATCGAGTCTGCTTATGAACTCGATGTATTATGTGCTAAACCCTCAATTCCGGGTGCCCAACGCTCGCCAGAGCACCTCGCAATCGGCTGAGGCGCTGGTGGGACGACATGATCGCCCAGGGCATCAAACCAAGCAGGGTGCCGCGATTAGGGTTCCCCCCACCCTGCCTGATTGAGGACTTATACATAAGGGAATCATACTAAGGAACCCTCGCAGGTATGTTAAGGTCCGTAGGATTCAAGGTTTGCGGTTTACTTGGATGCTCATGGGTAGTTATAAGTGTGGTTATGAGTAGAGTAACTGTAATTCTAGCCCCTATTAGGGTACATATAACCCTTCTTCTAACTACCCATGAACCTCCAGTACTAGACCGTGAACCACGGATCTCGAGGTTGCTGAATGTCGTTCATTCCCATTTAGGGGTTTAGGGTTCAGGGGTCTAGGGTTTAGGGGTTTAGGGTTGAGGGGTTCAGCGGTTTAGGGTTCAGGGGTTTAGGGCGTAGGGCGGCGAAGGTGAGTTTTTCGGTTTCAATCAGGAATGGGGTGTAGGTGACGGAAGCCAAAGCCTGGGTGTCACATGCTGGTCTTGATCATATAAACGGTGAGTCGTCGACGGAAGAGCACCCGAGATCAACCCAGAGATGTCCTGCACTTTGGATACCATGAGACTCCAAGACCCCTTCATTAAGAAATATACCCATAAGGTAGAAGCCAGAAAGTTGGAATATGATTATCCTAACCCTTCTATGGTAAATTATAGGGTGTCCTACCATGAAACCATATTCCAACTTTCTGGAGTTTCCTATATACCGTAAAGCTTTATTGAGGATCCCCTCAAAATCCAAAGATAAATTTTCGAGTTTTTGGATACTTTAGGTGCAGGACCTGTCGTTTTCTCGAGTTCAGGGCTTTCGGTTCCGGGATGTTTAGGGTTGTCAACTCAGGCTTGAATCCTGGAGGCCTCAATGCTAAACCCCTCACTTTCACTACAGCGAAGTCACTGATATGTAGCAGCACGAACTATGATATGGCCCGTGCAAGTTTTGGGACACATGGTGAAGCGTGCCTCTTGGTTGCTGTGTACAGCAGCCGACAGCTTGTATTCAAGGTGCCCTGCCGCTGAGCCCAAAGCCCTAAACTCAAAACCCTAAACTCTAAACTTTGACTCTAAACCCCTCAACCGCGAACCCAAACCCTGAACCCAAAACCCTAAACCACCCTTTTATGATACCCTTAAGTGCCCATGAAGCTCAAAGGGGAAAAGGAGGGACCCTTAATAGGGACCCCTACCCTATAATGGGCTATATGGTGGCTATATTAAGGGTATATATACCTGGGGGTCCTTATTAAGGGTCCCTCCTTCTACCCTTGGAGAAACCCGAAGGTTTCCTACAACACCATGATTTCGGCCTTCTCGCGGCGCTTAAACGTCCAAACTGCCGAGCAATGGATGCTTCGGATGCCGCTTGCCACGGTTGAGGGTGTAGGGTTTCGGTTTAGGGCTGAGGGTTTAGGGTTTTGGTTTAGGGTTTAGGGTGTTTTGTCGAGGTTTCCGGTATACAGTATAGCAAAACTGTATAGGAGCTGCAAAGAGAGACAGGCCTGAATTAAATAGGGTTTTGGGGCCCAGTATACTGGATCTAGAATAAGGAACCCCAAAATAGTACAGGAAATTATTAAGGCCCCGATATTATTAGGGCTAGTATTCAGGGTGGGTCCGGAATTTAGGGTTCCCAGAGGGCCCAATGCCTCACAATTCAGGAATGCGAGTTCTATCGCCCCGGGCTTCTTATTGTGAAGGAACAAGGGCTTCTGCAAATGTCGTTGCTGTTGTTGAGCCTTTGAAACGGGACTTCAAGATAGAGAACAAACAAGCAGTCCTTACCTGAGTCCCGATGCCTGAACTCCCCCTGAACCCTAAACCATAAACCCTAACTCCTAACCCCCTAAGCCCTATAAGCCCTAAGCCCTCACGCAGTTAATCGACACAATGCTGGCAGCTGCCATACTTCCTGTGCATCGTCTACTTCAGCTCCTCAACAAATGCCCATAAAGAACCTTTTGAAGCCATCTGTCAAAGATACCTTAAACAACCCTACAAGCCCCTGAGGACATAAGATCCTGATTTAAAACGCGGAAAATCCTTGGAGAACGACCATATACTCCTTCTACACTGTTCATACAACTACATATGTACATGTTTATATATATATATATATACACATATATATACACATGTATATACGCACGTCTATGTTTGTAATTATGCATGTGCACCTGCATATCTACACTGTCTGTATATCCACATATTCACATCTCTTTATACCTGTATATCTGCATATATATGTATATATAGATATCAAGAAAAACCTGTACATCTAGATATATATATATATACATACATATCTCCATCCGACTGCATATCTAACCTATCTCTGTATGTGTGTGTATATAAATATGTACGTATGCATATGTATTTGTACATTTACATATCTACATACCTACATGCCTACACATCTATATAGCCATATACGTATACATGTATATATTTGTTTTTCTATATATCCATAACCATCTCTTTCTCTGTGTATCTCTCGCCCTGTCTCTCTAACTCTCCCTCCCTCCCTCCCTCTCTCCCGCCCTCCCTCCCTCTCTCCCTCCCTCTCTCTCTCTCTCTCTCTCTCTCTCCCAAACACTCAACATCAAGCTATCAATGTTGGGGCCGTGTAAGGGTGTAATAGCAGCCAGTAGCATATAACAGCCTACGGAGCCATGACATAAAACAAGACGAAAACATCGAAGAAACTTGTGTACTCGCCCTGAATATGCACCAGAAATTGTGTGCAGGCCTATAGAAAAGCCGTTTAGTTGGTTCGGCTCAAAACCCTCACCCTAAAGCCTGCACACAAACCCTAAAACCCCGAACCCCTAACCCTGAACCCTCCTAAACTCCTAACTAAACCCTACACCATCAACCCCTCAACCCAAGCATACAGGTCCTAAACCTTGAAACCCTAAACTCGTAAATCCTAAACCCTACACCATCAAGCCCTCAACCCAAGGATACAGGATGGCCATGCTCCATGCAACATTTCGTATTATTTTTTGTTCGTGCCTCGGCGTGTAGGGCTTAGGGTTTAGGGAGGCATTTAGGGGGCAGGTTCAGGCTTTACAGTAGAAGCCCAAAAGTTCGAAACCCAAAGCCTCAAGCCTTAAGAGTAATGTATAAGGAATCCCGGCACTCATTGTCCTTAATCGGGTGTCCAATTTTTTGGGGTTTACTGTAAATCCCTTAAGTCCTAAACCCTTTAAACCCTAAACCCTAAACCCATGAAGCCAGAAACCCTAAACCCCAATTCCTGTACCATGAAACCCTAAACCCTTTAAGCCCTAGAATATTGACGGTTTACTATAGGGTTTAGAGACATGCGGTTGTCAAAATTATGGTCCCTGTATGAGTCCCTATAATATTACGGCACCTCTTGTTTAGGGTACCCAAAAAGGGAACCCTATTTTGTCAACCCACATGTGCAAGACTAAAGGTTCCAGACAGCTTTAGTATTCAACAGCATTGCATCAAGGCCACCATGATGGATTCGTCACCGCCATCGCCCTAAGAATTGAAAATCACACAGAATCAACGTAACACCTAAGAGGCGCAAAGGCCTCGAAACCACTTATATCTACCTGTGAACCTCCATGTAGGCCCTAAACCCTATGTGTATATATATATATACACACCCTTGTAGAATCCTTCTAGTTGCCTTCAAAAGGACCCCTAACTTCAATCCTAAACCCTAAACCTTAAACCGTAAACCCTATAGAACCCTCAAAGGAACCCTATAACCCCACTTATAACTACCCATGAACCTTCAAGTAGGGTAATCCGAATTATGCTGGGGCCCGTGCTCCTCCCCAAGTAGAAACTTCTACAGCAGGCCTTGAATAAGGTAGCAGTGGTTTAAGTTATCCCGTATGGAAGTTTCCAAAATTTCGGTTAGGGTCCCCTTTTTTCGGAAACTGCCATATCTGTGGCGGAAGGAGCCAGGGTCCCACTCTAAGGTCAGTGTTTAGGAAATCGTCTTTGCGGCTTGGTGCTTTAGTGCGTTGGGTTTAGGGCTTAGGGGTGGTTCCGGGTTCATTCTTCGACTTCCAGCAGCCGAATATAAAAGCCTGAAATCATTGAAATGATCTGGCAGGGATCCCGATTTAGATATATATTCAACATCTACTACGCCATCTGTCCCAACATTATGTAGGCTTTTCTCATGGTCTGATACATGTCGCGAGGTTTTCGGGGGGTTCCAGCTTCACTTAGACTCCCAACTACTTGGGGCTCATGGGTAGTAAAGTGGATTAGAAGTGGGGTGATTATAAGTATGAACCACATTGGGGGACATATAGCCAGACTTATAACTGCCCATGAACCTCCAAGTGCTCTTTACTCTAGCCCCTAGTGTGGTGAGTAGTATATCAGACCTCTTAGAGGGTACTTGGTCCTGGTAGGTCAGCCTACCGTGGGCTTACCAGGTTTAGGGTCTAGAACCCTAAGGGTCCATGTAAGTTTAGGGTTCAACGACTTTAGGGTTCAGGGATTTAGGGTTTAGGTTTCCCTAAGGGTCCATGTAGACAAATAATGCACACATTAGCCCCACAGTACCTATTTAGGAACTACTTACAGGCCAAAGTATATACTGTTTGAGTACATGGACCTTTGGGGGGACGACTCATGATGCTGACGCACAGCTCTGAGCTCCGAGCCGTCTGAGCAACCCCTTGTGCAAAAGATTAATGTTGCGACTGTTTTAGGGCGCCTCCAACTTAAACATGCAACCCTAATCACCGAGCCAAGGATGGCTTCGCCAAGGTGATCGACGTGCCGCGAACAACCAAGTGGTTTGAGTATATTATTGCGCCTGGGCTTCTTTGGTATAGGGGTTGGGGTTATCCAGACAGACTCGAACACGCGCACACGCACACACATATCCACGCGCCCGCACAAACACACACACACACACACACACACACGCACACACACACACACAGACACACACACACACACACACACCCGCGCACACACACACACCACACACACTCACACACACACACACACACACACATGGCACCTGCAAAGTTTTACTGTATACTGTTTATACTACGCCCGAGACCCTTATCCTCGGTGTTTGTGCTGTTCCAGCGTCGATGACCTGAAACCGCTAGCTGCAAGCGCCGGATGTCGCAAGGTTTTCAGTAGAGTACTGGTACCTGCTTCAGGGTCTAAAGGTTTAAATCATTTCCTACAGAGGGCTACTTGCGGGGGGGATCGTGAGACTTGGTAAGCATCAGTACCTTGATTGGGGGTGATGTAGAAGTATTTAAAACTAAAACTACAATATTATACTTCCTTACAGTTCCTCATTTGTAGCTGTAACTATAAGATTCTACTTCATCATTTATGATCGAGAAGACCCTGTCCCCACAACCACACGGCCAATGCCACTCGTTTCTCACGTACCCTTGCAGAGGAGGAAGCGTTTCAGATTCCAGGTCCCGCCGGCTCGAAGAGTTTAGTCTTTGGAGCGTGGTGTTTGGGGTTTTGTGGCTGGGGTCTTGCGGCTGAATTACGGAGTATTGTGCCTTGTGCTGGCTAAGCTCCTTCGAAGCTCATGCAACTCTGACAAAGCCCTGGATGAACAGACGTGTGCCAAGGATACCAACTTTGCAGCCTGGCTTTCGAAAGTGGAATCCACTGCCAGGGTGCCAGGGACAACGTGGCTGCTGCATTTGTTTAAGTCTGGTATTGACTCGCGGTTGTGTTTACCATTGGTTGTTGCGCTTCATATTGTAGGTCTTCGCATCATCCGCAGCAGGCTGCGAGGGAACATCACGGCCACGACATGGTAAGAGTGAGGTTCACACCGTAGAGATCTCTACCACCCCAACACTGACAAGCACCTCCATATCTGTTTTTGCCGAAGGTATGTAAATTGGCAGCAATACCATAGCAACACAGGAAAACGGAGTGGGTTTGCACCACCATTCACATGATTAATACTCTTCCGTGTCAGCGTCATCGTCACCTCCACCTTGCCGCCACCACTATTGGCGTCATCACCACCTAAATGGCCATTACCACCATCAACTCTGCCGTCAAAATGTTCAGCATCGTTTGCACCATGATCGTTTTCATCATCACCAGATCACCACCTCTACGTCATTATGCATGCATCCCTCTCTCCCTCCCTCCCTCTCCCTCCCTCCCTCCCTCCCTCCCTCGCTCTCTCTCTCTCTCTCTCTCTCTCTCTCTCTCACTCTCTCTCTCTCTCTCTCTCTCTCTCTCTCTCTCTCTCTACTATGTCTGTATGAATATACATATATATATATGCACACACAACCGCTTTTAGATTAGAGTCAGAGGGAGTTCAGCAGTAGCTCTGCACAAATCAGTGTAGAATAGTTTCGAGAAAATTTTGGGATGTTTCCATGAAACGCTTCGACAACTTCGCGAATGTTTTTACACAGTGGCGCGATAAGTTTGAAGAACATATGACGTAATGGTTCATCGATAAAGTGCCACTATTGCTGCTGCTGCTAATACTGCTACTAATTGCTACTGCTACTGCTAATGCTACTTCTACTGCCACTGCTACTGCTGCAACAATTACTGCTACTGCTATCACAAGTACGACAAGCACTACAAGTACTACAAGTACTACAAGTACTACTCTACTACTACTACTACTACTACTACTACTACTACTACTACTACTACTACTACTACTACTACTACTACTACTACTACTACTACTACTACTACTACTACTACTACTACTAGTACTACTACTACTACTACCGCTACTGCTACTGCTACTGCTACTGCTACTGCTAAGGTTCTTGGCTCACAGCGGAGCGATGAAATTGAAATCTGAGACTCCGCTTTCCGAACGTAAGCTCGCTAGCAGCTCTGGGGAACCCCAATCGAACACGGCTGTAGGCTGCAGGATGGCTCGCATAGTTGCTAACCTTGTGCTGTGCCTCGTAGCCTTCAGCCTTGTGGGTAGCCCACCCCGGCCTTCTACGGGACACGCAGGGCACTGGTCTCAGCCGCGCCAGCATGCTGATTCGAGCTACTTGCACCGACAGCTGTCACTTCAGCATAGACCATGTGCATGTGTTCAATCGAACTTCAGCTTGTTGAGCAGTGCCAGTGTGCCCTTGGCCGGTCAGCACCTTTGTCAGGGCTCAGACCCCGCCTGTTCGGTGATTCTTCGACTGCTGTCAGCAGGAGCATCATCATGGCACCGCGATCCAACAAAGGATCCGTCTCCAGAACGCCGCCACCGCGGACGGTTCCCAAGGCAAAGGCCAAAGGCCGTTCTACACCAATGGCGACTGCAGCCTCGGACTCCGACCTGTCTGATCTCCTCCGCTCCAGTGACGAGGATATACCTACAGGACGCGGCGGACCCGTTGGCTCTGGATCACCCTCGGGAATTACCACGGGATCAGTCACACCGGCTACAGCACTTCCCATGGCCAAGGCCTCTGCACCTGCAGGCCCACCCCCGCCGATGCCAGTTAACAGCCCGGGTCCTGCTCCAGGAACACCCGCTGCAGCCTTCGGTGCTTTTCGATCGGGTTCAGGGACAGATGAAGTGCGCCGTGGACCTGCTACAGGACCTTCGACGACTACCACGACGACCTCTGGCGCAGCGGCCACAATGCCCCACTACCCGGGTGCCCTCGTTGTCAGTGTGCCACATAGCCTGTCATTCTCTGTTGAGATTGTCGTACGAACGGCACCAGCCGAACGCATGTGAGACCGGCAGCCATCGGCGAGGACACGAAAATTAGTCATCTGTGTCTGCTTGCCTCTGTCACCGCGGCCACCCTCTGCCTAGGCCCTACCAATCCTCTAAGTGGACCCTGCCCCAGCCCTGCTGCAGTCCCATTCTCGTGACTAAACTTAGCAGGCCCACTCTACACCCTCTGACTTCAGGTCTCATGATGGATAGCTCGGCTGCCTCCTCCTGGGAGGTCGGCCGGCTCTCGACACGAATTCCGCGCATCATGCTTGCACCTTGTAGACAGCTGCCTGTCACGCAGGCCTGCAGCAGGGACCCCTCCACGAATAAGGAGCAGGCCACCCGACCGCAATGCGCTGCCCAGTGTACGTACTCTGCTCGTCGCACAGGCTGGCCGGCTCGCGGTCGCCACAGCCCCAGCCGACAACCCTGGCAGATACAGCAGCTTCACTGCAGAGCGGCCTGTCTGTCAGGCCACGGACGTCTATACTCCACTGCCCGCTGTTGCTTCCAGCTGGCCCCTGTCATCTCTTGTCCCACGGCACTTTTTACCAATGCCTGCCTGCCCTCAGGTCCGGTCCTGACTTCGACGCCAAACATGTGGTCCGAACCTTGGCAGCTCTCGCGCATAGCAGCCGCTTCCAAGCAGTGCACCACCTCCTGGCGGCAGTGTGCCGGTTTTGCATGCAATCACTTCCTGATGCGACAGGCCCAAGGACATTCTCTTAGGTGCAAACCACTCGGATGCCACCATCCTTCATCTCACTCCCGTAGATACTCCCAGTACCTAGTGCAGACTCCACCGTCTCAGGCCTACCAGGCGACGCGGATTGAGTTCTCCAAGAATAGGCTAAGGAGGGTCCACATGGGTTGGGATGCTCGCCAATGTCGGTGGCGATACAAGCCAGGCCAAAAGGAACGACGTGCAGCCCGGGAAGCACGGGAGCGTAGGGAGCAGGGGACGGCCAGCTCGAGCTCTGGTGTGGCACCACCGTTGACCCTCTACTCGCAGCGGAGACCGCGAGCCACCCGGGTCCCGACCAGACAGGAGGCTGAAACCGCGGAGGTGCCCGCGCCTCGACTATACCCCAAGCCGAAGAAGATGCCCCGAGTCCGTGCTTCCTCGCAGCTCCCCTTGGCAACACCGCAGGCCGAAGCCGACAGCAGACCCACCTCCTCGAGTACGGTGCTGGCACCCGGCCTTGGACATACCATGGGACGAGGGAACTCTATCTGGTTCGAGGACACTGTGGTGACCGAACACATCCCGGCTCCTGCCACCCCACCGCCTCTGGCTGAGACTGCGCACAGAGCTGCTAAGCTCAGACGATGGCGACGAGCCCGGCGCTCGCGCTGGCCGAGATGGTTCCATGTGGCGGCTGCACGCACACCTGCCACGGGCAAACGCCGTCGCTGGCGAGCCTGCTCAATGGCGTTGATGCTGAAGAGGCCCTGGTCTGCCCACTGGAGGGCCATCTACCAGGATTGCCATCGACTGTGGCACAACTGGGAGCAGGGACAGCCACTCACGGTACAGGACTACTGGTGGCTCTCGAATGCTTATCGGCTGGTATACCCTAGAACGATGTGGAGGCGGATCCAGCACCACCTTCTTCAGCTAACGCCCTTTGCGAACTGCCGCCGCATTTGCTCCCTGGTGATTGGACACCGCAGAACCGACTATAGACACTCGCGACCGGTAGACACCGACAGACCTACCCCGGTAAGCCCGAATGTGGTGACCGGTGCCGGACCCTCCTGCGGCCAGACAAATTACTTGTCTCCGTGCCACTGCCTTTGCATGGACTGCCACAGTCAGCCTACTAGAGGTACAGGGTTGTTTGACGTGCACTCAGGATCCAGCAAACGAATTGGAAGCAGGGCGTCAGCATCTTGCCGGCATTTGCACACTTGCCACTGCGACAGGCAGGATCCGCTGCCCAGGCACATTTTCCACAAGTTAGCTCCTGGCACCTTCACAGGTCTGCTTACGCCATTGGCAAGAGGCCACCGGCCCGGCACCCCTGGTGTCGTGAGACATGTTGGCTCATCTCACACATTTCATGACCTG